TTTATTTAATTTATTTTGCTTATATAGATATGGCTACATCAAAATGACATATTGGAGTTTGCAGTTCAAACTTCTTGGTATGTGTCAAATCTGAATATTTAATCTGCCCAGTGTGAGAACAAGAAAATCTAGATTCTAATCCATATTTTGAATCTGCAAGATCCTTCAGGTTTTGCTTCTTTTTAACTCATCTTGCGTATCCCTGAACGCCACTCAGACTTCTCAGTTCACTACATTTGCTTTCTTCATACAGATTACACTCAGGCACCCATTTACCAGAAGGAAAATTGTGAATAGAAGTCGTAACCTCTCCACTAGCACTGCCTGGTTCACTTCTTGAAATCTCAGCTGTGCAGCTGCCTCTCCCTTCCACCCTCACCTCACAGTCGGGTCAGGGCTGCAGCCGCCATTTTCACACCTCTCTCCTAATGTACACGAATATTTAGAGCCCATCTGACCTTTTTATATCCCAGTAGTCTATCTGTGAAATAGTAACAAAAATTCCACAGATACGTCACACAGGTATGAGTATAAAATAAGACTCTCCTCACAGCTCCTCTGAAATCATGAAGATTTTCAATAGTGATCTTGAAAAGAAAATAACATATTTGAAGTTCAGATCTGTGAAAACTCCAAAGAAATTACAAGAGAAATTAACAGGATTCCTTGTCCTTTAACTCTTTGAAAATGTAAAGTTCTATTTATATCGTAATGATGATGTGATACTTTTGAATGAAGATACAAATATTTTTTAAAAGGGAAAGGAGAGGAAAAAGAGGAAAAGAACACCTTGAGAGCTGCACTCATCCCAACAAGCAAAACAGAATAGACGAGGCCCAACAGGCCATTATCTATGGCCCTACTGCAGACTGAGGAGCTTTCCCAAACGTGTAATTGTGAAAGCTTTTGCCAAAAGACATATAACTGACATCTCTGCCATGGCTAGGAAAGACAGTTTCTATCTGTATATAAAGCACTACAATAATCAAAGCAATGCTCAAAGCTTAAACAGGAACATCCTTATAAAACAAATGTTGAATTGACTCCACATTTTCAGTAAAATTAAACATCTGTTACAGTCCAAATGTAACCGACTTAACCCATTGTTCGCCACGGACAAATATAAAAACTTTTTAGCTGAGAACATTCCAAAAATCTGTGTGTGAGCTGAGATGTTTCCCCTTACGCTGCACTTCACGCCTCAGAGGAATTGCTGCAAACATGCAAGACACATCTTCTCAATCCTTCTCCAAACCAGTTCTTAAAACTCCCTTTCCAATTATGTGTATGAAAAGACAGTACTAAAACTGCTGAGCCCTCCACAGCCTTGCTTGTTCCCTGGGATGCCTCATCTATACGTACACACCCCTGGGCCTACACTTTTGAATACAAGCTTTTTGACAGACTACTCGTTGTTCAACGTTTGTGCACTCTGTACCGCAAAAAGTTCTGAGAGACTATTCTAATACAAAAAAGATGTAATAATGAACAATTTCACCCTTCCACTGCAAAATGCATAGTGCTTAGAAAATGGAGATACATTATAGCTTTTCAATAGCTGATGGTACCTTCAAACAGAAGTTTAGCACCATAAAGAACTACACCTGGGCCAAAGTGTGGAACCACACACACGTACACGTGCATTTCGTGTCACACGATGTAATTCTCTGACTGTTATCTACACAGAGATTTTTTAAAAATATCTGTCCAAAGGATGCTGCAGAACATTTGGAGAAGATTTCCACCCTGTTTGCGGTCATTGCTCTCTACTCTTGCTTTTGTCCTTCAAACTGTTCTGCTCAGCCATGCTGGCAGAAAGCTGAGCCCGGCAGCCCTGGGGCAGGAAACTGGAAAAATCCCCCTTACTGAACATTGTACATACCTCCTTGTCTTCTGTACATTTGTCAGAAAAGTCAGAGATCAGAGCTTGACACTGGTCAGGCTTTGCCATCCACCTCACTTGATAATTCATACACAAATCACTTCCAAAATAACCACCAGAATTATTGAAAACAGCATGTTTTAAGGGGTTCTTAAATGACATCCCAAGTCATATGCAGCCTTGAGCTTTTATTGCTTTTAAACAGGCTTTACATTAAAAATATCATTGTTTCAGAAGAAATCGCATCACAGCTTTATTTCAAATCCTCAGAGATTACAAAGGAAAACTTCATTTTCCATGGTGCTGTCTTGACAGACATCAACGTTTACCAGCTGTTACAATAATAGATTTCAAAAAAACAGATGGACATGAACAAAAAAGTGCTATTTGCTTTTCATAAAGGGGGGTGATACTGCAAGACCACTCTCCAGTGGCAGACTGTGATCCGGGCGCTCCTGCAAGGAGAACCACCCCCTGGCTTTTAGCAAAGCTGGAGCTGAGCAAGAGGAGCTACGGACTCGCTGCTCCAGCTGGTCGGTAGCACGAGATGCAGCAGGAGTGGTGGGGAAATGGGTAGAGCTGTTCACAAGCAGCTCCCCGGTTGTGCACATGCACCCCCATCCATGGCTCTAGTGAGGGGGAAGGTGGAAAGTAGTTGATATAAACCAGTACAGTCCGACTTTAGCAGCCAAGGGGCTAGTTTGGGATCCTCTGCTGGTTGCTCCTACCTTGCTGATCGGCAGCACCAAACCCAATTTCTGTGCCTGACCCAGGCAGCCACCAGAAACCTGCTGAATGCTTTTGGGTTGCACACAGCTCCCTACATCTATAGGCTAAAAAATAACAGTTGCTGGGGAGAAGCACCCTGAAGGGTGGGTCTGAACCTCAAGTCTGTCAATCGGCCTTTTTATTCCTCCCACTCACGGAACAGAGAGGAATCGAGGGGGCAGAAACGCAGCTCTTAAGCATGTCTTGAATCATCACGCTGTTTCTCTGCTTGCATTCGAACCTGTTGTAAACTTGTGTTTGCAGGCTTTTATACTTCACGAGCCACAGCTGCGTTGCTGGATCCAGACCATTTACGTGACACCATTATCACTAAACTCATCAGCGCGGGAGAAAAAAGCGTCCACACGAGTTACACACCGACGCGAAGCTTTTCTGCAGAAGTTATCCGGTCAAGAACAATGCGATACGGTCCAGAGCATTGTATTAGGTGATTTCCTACCCAAACCTTGCACGGTTATTTTTATATCACTTTCCTGTGAGCTTTTCAAAGCTTGAAGCTAACCTTAATTTAATGCGCTAGTGAAAATTCATAAAGTTACCAGTACCACCTTCCTTCTAATTTAAGAAGCCTGGATCATTGATTAGTAATATCACTTCTCTTTCTGAGACTGACAGGTGATCGCGGCTATTGAGTGCAGCAAGAATGTACTCTGGCACCTCATGAGCTCATGCTGCATATCAATACTATCAAATACTTTTAGCAGTCGTTCTAGCAATTTGCTCACTTCCGTATAGATCATTCTGGGCTCCACAGTTCAAGAAGGATGAGAAGCTACTGGAGAGAGTGCAGCAGCGGGCCACGAGGATGATGAGGGGCCTGGAGTATCTCTCCTATGAGGAAAGGCTGAGGGAGCTGGGCTTGTTTAGCCTGGAGAAGGCTGAGAGGGGACCTTATAAATGCTTATAAATATCTTAAGTGTGGGTGTCAGTAGGATGGGGCCAAACTCTTTTCAGTAGTGCCCAGCGACAGGACAAGGGGCAATGGACACAAACTGAAGCTCCGTCTGAACATGAGGAAGAACTTCTTCACTCTGAGGGTGACGGAGCACTGGAACAGGCTGTCCAGGGAGGCTGTGGAGTCTCCTTCTCTGGAGATATTCAAGACCCCACTGGACAAGGTCCTCTACAACCTACTATAGGTGACCCTGCTTCGGCAGGAGGGTTGGACTAGATGACCCACAGAGGTCCCTTCCAACCCTGAACATTCTGCGATTCTGTGATTCTCAGGCTTAAAACATGTTATCAAATAAGAGAGGAAATAATGTGTATGGACTGAAGCTGAAACCCAAGGGGGGTGAGTTAACTGCCTGCAATGATGTATGCAGCTATTTTATTGCGGCAACAATTAGGCGGTTCGGGGAGCACGAGCCCAGGAAGCCACGCTGGAGCGCGGCCTCGGACACAGCGGCCTCGGCTGCCTTCCCC